GCACTTCTGCTGCACGCGCGCGGGCCAGCAAGCGGATGAAGGTTGCTGCTTCGGGGGCCCACCTGCTTCCTACCTCGAGCCCGAAAACAACCAGGCGGCAGCGGCGTGCCCGCTCGAGGTCAGGGTAAGTTTGGCATCGTTTGCGGCGGGTGGCCTGGGCAACAACGATGCCGGGATGGGCATCTGCATTAGCCCGGGGCTGGCCATCCCGACCGAGGGGGCTGACGAGCGTGGCATCAACTGCGGGTTGCTCCCCATGCCACAGGGGCAGCCCGTTGCAGACAACCTCCATGCGCCGGGCGTGCTGCACGGGCACATCCAAGTTCATATCAGCCAGGCGCACATTCCTGGCCACGCGTGCGCTAGCCTCGCGGCATACCCTGGCGAGTGCGCGCTCGAGAGGGATGGCGCGCGAGGCAAGGACGCNNTCGGTGATCACCAAGCACATCAAGCAGCCGGCGGCAAGTGCAGGCCCGCGGTGCAAGTGGGAGCGGCAGGCGCAGCCGGCGAAGGAGGAGAACACGGAAGTGCGCAGTGGGGAGTGTGACATCCTCATGTGTGGGTAGAACCGTTAGGGCACACAAAGAATGCGACCCGGCCTGTGACAGCAGCAGCGCTCGAGATGCAGGTGAAAGATTCGGAAGAAGCGTCTCAAGCGCGCGCTGGCCACAGGCGTGGGCAGCACGGCGCTGCCATCCACGGAAGTGGTCACATGGTTCCTCGCGGCTGGGGGCATCAGCAGGGGGCCACAGGAGGCTGGCGGCGAAAGAGAGCGCCGCGGCAAATGACAAGAGCGCAGACCATCGTTGCGTGTACGCGAAAATGCTGTCTGCGCGTGATGGGGCGGGGCCGTTCCTGGCACGGGCCCTCAAGGAGGCGAATGAAGCTGGCCGCTTCAAAACTCCAACGGCCACCAACTTCGAGGGCAAGGATCACTAGTCCAGCATGAGCAGCCCTGGAAAACTCAGGGTGCGTCCTCTCCTTGGCCTGGCGGGCTTGTTGCAAGGCAACCCCTGCAGTGCGTCCCGCAGCGTGCCGCGGGGCTCCTGCGGCAGTGAGGGGAAGGACCAGGGTGATTCCCTTGTCGGAGAGCCAAATCATCCGTTTTTGGGTGGTTTCCAGGTGCAGTTTTCGGCTTTGGTTGCTTTTGTTGAAGGAGCCAATTGCCAGGCGCGAGCTCCGCCGCCGTGAGCACATGCCGGGCGCGGGAGAGCTCCCCATCTTGCACTTTGCCACATGCGAGTTCGCGCCGGTGCGCAGCTGCTGCCTCGGCACCGAATGCGTCACAACTCCTCCGTGGTGAGCCGCGTGTCACGGGTTTCCACCAGCAACGCTTGCCAGTGCCCTTGCTCGCGGGACTGGATGTGCTGTTTTGGCGCACGGGTAAAATGCCAGCGTGAGTCGAGAAGAATTCCAGGCCCGCGAACGGCGAACGTCGTCGGGCGAGCCCACATAGACATCCCTAACGGCCAGGGGGTTGCGCTCGAGAGCTCGGCGGCTCGAACTTGGCACTGCATGGGTCGACGCATGTCGAAGCGGCTCGGGCTCGCGGGCAGGGCCAGTCCAGGTAGCCTCTGGCAGCTCGTGGCCAGCCCCCCATAAACTTCCAACAAAGCTGCTTGGGCCAGTGCCGTAGCATACTCCGTACGATTTCAAACTCACGCTAAAGATGCCGGAGGAGACAATCGCACCGCGCTGGGCACTTCAGGACTTCGCACAGCGTCGCCACCTCAAATTGCGCCGCGTTGGCGTCCCCCACCTCAAACGGCAGCCAACGCGTGGACAGCGGCCAAGAGCCTGTCGGCAGGCTGCGGCCCAGTGGTTGCGAGGGACCTGACGAGACGGACCCCTCGCTCACCGCGACATGGGTGGGCGACCCAGTCAGCACTGGCGGCTACATGAAGCAGGGGCGCGTATGGCCAATAATTCTTGTGGTGCCATTCGTGCGGCGGGGGCGGGCCCTTGGTGTGGCTGCAGACCCCCCCGTAGCCAACCACTGCCCCTCGCCGCTACACCCCACCTCGCGGCGCCCTTTGTATCATCATGCAGCCAACACCTGCGCTGCGCTTGTCCGGCGGCAACCATCCCCACATCCCGTCCTCGCGGCCACCCCCCAACATCTAGCACCCGGCACCCGCGCCGCAGCACGCCGCCTCGTCCTCGCGGCCACCACTGCACGTGTTCCGGCCTGGGCTGGGATTGGCAGTGCGCTCGACTCTTGTATACCCAACGTATACAGCATCTCATATTTCCCATAATATGGTTCGTGTGCCGGCAGGTGTTTCCTGCGTGTGGGGCTACGTGGCCCAGAAGTTCACTGGCCTGCTTCCATTGTGTTCTAGTTTGATGTCGCTGGACGGGCGCCGTGCGCATGATAGCATGTCCCGGACCGCCCTCATCCGAGAGCTGCCGCAGCACGGGTCCTGAAACAACCATCTGGCAGTCAGAAGTTGAAACATGTTGAAACTATGTGCGCGCCCGAACGGCTCCCGTTCGCGCGCGGGCCTACCTTTAGTAGGATGCGGAAAAACGATATACGGATGTGGCCCTGGGCGAGGGCTGCGAGTCTCAGATTTGTTGGCACGCCCGTTGCAACAGAACCATCAAGCTTTCGGAGCTTCTCTCAGGCGATTTCCGGCTTTGCTGGCACAGACCGTTGGACCGGACCCATCGGCCTTAGGTCGTCTAGTGGTGTCTCAGCTCGCTTGGCTGAAATGAGAGCTTTCCAGAAGAGGCGGCAGTTCCAAAATTTGGAGAAACAGCATTCTTGTGACACGTGCCATCGTCTGTTGCATTCTGTTGCCCTTGCTGTCGTGTCCTTGCCAAACAGGCAGCAACGAGCCTTTAAGTTCGTGTGCTGCCTTACAGCCGCTGTTGCTGGGGACAAAGTGCACAGGACGTTACGACTCACATTTACGGCCGCGAGTGTCGGCGAAGTAGGCGTGGCACCAGTTGAGGCAGGCTAGTGTGGCGAGTTACAAGCATCCTTTTCCAACCTCCAAGCATAATTCACTCCAGCGGAACTTTCAGCAGGGTACCAAATTCTGCCGCCCAGCTGACTGAAATTCTAGCATGTACCTGACACAGGCATGACAATGACCCCGTACCACATCGTTACAACTTTGGCCATCGCAAGTGTTCCAAGGACGGCACCCTGCCCTGGCGCGTCAAGAAGCGAACAGGTGAGGAAGCATGGCGTGGAGCCTTCAAAGGGGACATCATGCTGCAAGATGAATGAAAGCATAATGACTTGGGGCCACACAACATAAATTCCGTTGTGCCTGGGCCGGCTTGCATGTCTTGCAGGATCTGTATGCCACATGATCACAAACTGACACTGCAAGAAGGGCACCACGTCCCAGGGTGAATGTAGATGCCCTTCCCTCTTGGCACATGGAAAGCTCTCATGTCCTACAGTGGTTTCCGCACAAGATGCGCAAGTAACCGTACACAATGCTCTTTCGGAATCTCTGAGCATGTCTCTGGTCCTCTGGCTTGATATCATCTCCAATCGAAGCAGGGCCAAGGCACACCGTAAATGGCACGGGCGTTCGTGGCCAAAACAATTGACCACCTGACATGCCAGTGGATGCTGGCCAGCTGAACCTGCTTAAAGCAGTCATGCCCCGCGCCGTCAGGATGGTAGTCACTCATCCATAGGTATATAGCACCTGATATGCGCTACGTAAACATACACTCACTTCATGCATCCAGAAATAAATGGCTCGCCTGCATCTGCAGGCTTGTCTGCAACTGCTTCCTCCGGCCTCCACGCCAGCTGTCGCTAGCTCGCGGCACATCACGGCACTCTACATCAAGATGCAGTAAAACACATCGGGCTACTGAAGATGGGCTGAAGCCGGCCGCCACTTTAGCCACGGTACATGGCCCCCAAGCCATCCAGATACTTGTTGTTCTCGGTGGCAATGGCCAGATTGTGTCCGTGGAAATAATCGCCCTGTGCAGCACTCTGATAGTCTTGCACAAGTCCGGACAATCACATCGGTGATGCATGTAGCGACCCTCCCTGCTACCAGTAGCTCTTGAATAGCTCCACTGGCTTCGAAGCTGGCCTGCCACTTGACCTCAAAATCGCCTTCTGTTGTTCCCGCCTGGCGGCTCTGGCTGCATTTGAAAGTTAGCTGCTGCCTCGTTGGCCTCATCTCCGGTACCAGGATCTAAAGGACGCCAGCCCGGTTGAGGCCACCGGGTGATCTCAAACGTTCTTGCGCCAACAGTGAACTCCTGAGAGGAGCTCCACACACACACACACACACACACACACATTCCAGGCCAACAAACCTATCCGGGCTCCTCGGGGTGGTGGACAAGCCTGCAAAATGGTTTGGGACTTCGCGCACGCACCAGTCTCATGCAATACTTCCAGCCTTCCCAGTCCAGCAAGTGAAGTATCGCTGGCAACTTCCGGGCGGATCTCCCGGATGTGGAGGCCTTCAGGTCTCCAGCGGCATTCATAGCTTTGCTGCATAGATCAGTGGCGGACCTTTTGCCAACGAAGGCTTCTGAAAATTCTCCGGAGAGAAAACGAAGGCAGATTTGGCGACCTCACAAGGTGGTCTTCGTGCGCGCTGTCAGTAGGACGGAAAGAAACGGCTTGATTCTGACCTCATGGCTTCGCGCAGCCGCGCTGGCTGCACAACGAACGAATCTGCGAGCTTGTCTCATGGCGGTCAGATGCGGTCAGTATTTGTGATAAGCGATGGACAGTGTGCAGGTGTTACAAGGTTACCAGGCTTAGGTTGGCAAAGAGGGCACCATATTGCTGACCATCTTGCTCTACAAAGATGATGGCTATACTGCGAGCCGTTAGAAGCTGACTCAGCATTTGTGATGCCAGCGTTGCTTTGCACTGCCTGCGCTCCGCAAAGCAGCACTTGGCACTTTTTAACGGCAATGGTGCATTGCATTGCTTTTTGGAATCGAGCTTTGGTAGCAGGACCATGTGGCTCGCGGCACTGTCTGCATACAGAAGGATCAGAGCCATGGAAATTCTCGCTTGGTTGCAAGATGTTGCAAGACACAAGTATCAAATCCGTCCCAGCTGTCGCTTCCCTTATCTGCAAGCAGTCAGGATGAGCCGATCCGGCCACTATGTACACAAAGGGCCTTCCATCTCAGTGGAAGCCAATGGCATCTCCTGAGGACTGACGTGGCAGCTGCTCCGCTGGCCGGAGATCAACCTCCAGGTAGGTGACCTCAGACTTTTCGGCTTCAGATGGAGACTTGTGCCAGGAAACAAGTTGGCCAGCTCTAGGTAGGTGACCTTGGCCTTAGCTCACTGCCAATATTTGCGCAGAGACATGAAAACATAGGACTCGAAGCTCAAGCCAAGGTGCATCGCCAGCCATGACGGCCTGATGCTTGTGGCAACTGCTGATGATACAGTCTGTGTTTCTCATAATCACTTCAGGTACACGATTCTGTTCATGGTTGCACTTTCTGCTTTGTAGGCCATGTTCAGCAAAGGTCGATTTCCACTGGGAGGTTCTCTTCTTCAACATTCGCGAGCTTGACTACAGCGCGCTGATGCTTATGACTTATGACTCGCTGATATTCTCCCACAGTCTGCTCTTGCTGGGGGCGGCCCTGAAATCCGGTTGATGGATCCAAGATGATCCAAGCACAACCCGCTTGAGACAGCAGCTTGAAGAGCTCCCTTACCGGGAGAAATTACAGGACATGTAGAGGCTCCATCTGGGCGTCGCTTTTGAGAGTCTGTGTAGCTGCTGTATGACCTTTCCCTGCTGTCCTTCAAGTCTATGTCTGGCAGTGTGTCAAGTCTTGACTGGACTCCCCTTGGCCCTTTGAAGAAACATGCGATCTAATTTGAAGCTGAAGCTTGAAAGCCCCAAGGCATCCCGCAAGCCAGCCTCTACGGAGTCTACTTGCTTGGCAGCGAGGTCGGCAAGAATCTGGCATTGGTTCTATCATGGATCAGCTTCAGGACAAAGAGATGGAGACAAGGATTCCAACAAAACGCTTCAAGGCACCACGCGCAGCGAACGCATAGAGTCCGCTGGCACACGGCTCCCAATGTATCTGCGAACAGGAGGGGGATTTTCGTTGAACATCGTGAGCTCAGCAGAGCACAGCTTAGCCTCACATGCTGAACGCAAAGGCTGATGGTCTTGCTCAACACGGCGGGAGACACCTGCAAAAAACACGAGCTGTCTATCATGCATCGCAGATTACTGCAATTCGAATTCGCTATCGCTCCTCACCAGCGCCCTTGGCGAAGAGGCGCGCAACCTGATAGGACTCAAATGCGCCACACGAGCAATTTGAGAATGAAGTAAGCTGCCTTGTTGAGGATGTCCACGAAGAGACCCACATCGGATGGATCCGAGTGTATAGCACCTTAAACATAGCATACATATAATACATTTATCTCTGTATATATATATATATACATACCTTTTTTGGGGGTCAACTAGTACAGTATGAAGGTTGTAAGCTCCGCTCCGTCGGCACTTTGCAAAGCTCGCCTGAGGCAGAGCAGGCCACCGTCAGCATCCTTTGCGCTGCGTCGGCTCGTCAGAGAAACGCATCATTCATGCTTTCCAATACCCTGGAAAATACCAGGAAACGCTAAGTCTATGCTTGGCCAATTTTGGTCCTGCAACTCTGGCTGTGGAAGCCAAAACCTCGGCTCAAAAGCCGAGCCCTTGCCGCCACAGAGAACAATGTCGGCTCATGTCGGCTGAATGCTGGCAGGCTGCAGCTCGCAGCAGAGGCAAAAAGCTTTGCTCTGAAAACTCTTTGAAAGCCTCAAGACATCTCAAGACACTTTTGCGGTTCTTTGGACCTCTAATTTGGACAGCTTTCCGGCCACTGCAAAGCGCAACAGAGGTGCATCTTGCTGCACAATGCCACGGCTCGCTGGCGGATCTTCACAGGCTCCTGCAGAGCAATTCACAGCGCGGATTGTTTTGAGTCCAAGAGCGGCCAGTGTCCTCCGGGCCCAACTTCATCTGCTGAAGGGTTCCAACCAGCAGCTGCAGGCCACATAACCGTGCCTGGCAGGACTCAGTGCTGCCTTCACGCAGAGCAATTGATGGGACGGCTGGCGAAGTGCCTCCTGCTTGAGGATTTGCTCTTCCAAGCAAGCCAGGGCTCTGTCTACGCACCTCAGCCAAATTAGCGTCTACGCATCTCAGCCAAATTAGCGTGAGCACTTGTCAAAGTGCTCGGGCAACCTGCCTGGAGCCAAGCTCAGTCAGCCTGGCATTGCATGTGTGATGATGAAGGCATTCACTCTCGGACGTCCAAATCCAAACAAAGCCTGGGACAGGTTTTTGCCGCCGCCGCACGGTCTGCTGAAGCCGCGCAAAGAAGCCAGAGTCGGAAAGACTCCTTGCACATGTCAACAACATGACGACATAATATGACGACATTGAGGTTCTAGAGAAAAGTTGCTTCGTGGCAAAGGGATTTACACCCGGGATGCGCACCACCACCCTCCTACCAGTCCTGTTCCACACGTGTGTCATGAATGTAAACGCGTCTTCTTGCACCAGCGCTGCTTACCACTGTGCCATCACGCAGATGCGCAAGTGGGGCTGCGCGAGGTTTACAGATGCTGCAGCTTGCAGGCGCGCTGGTTGCGGCAGCCCTAAATCCAAGCAAGGTCCATGAATGCCAGGGTCTCAAGACACAGACGACTGTCTAATTCTGTCTGATACTGTCAGTCCTTGGGGACAAGTGTTCCCAGGCTTTGGCACAAAGAGTGCCTCGGAAGAGCTTGTGGCAACTCGGATGAGCTACCGGCATGGCCGCAACAACTTCAGGCCGCGACGTGAAGTCAAACATCCTGCTCAACTGGCTGCACCTGAGTCGTTCTGCTCGACTGATGGGCTGCGTTCACTTTCTTTGTACACTCTTGAACTTAGAAAGCCGCTCGTGTTCGCGGTTTCGACCTCTGAAATGTACAATCGTGTCTGCAAACAGTACGCGCTGAGACTGGCCTTGGGAGGTCAACCGATCCGCCTTGCGAAGGATGTCGTATTCCAGCTGCTGTGCTGTACAGTTCCTACGCACTTCCTCTGAGGTACGTACCAGCTGCAAAACGGCCGTGACCATGGCAGGGACTGTGAAGATGATTCGGTGCGGTCCGCCCTCGCAGCACAGGAAGCTGTGGAACTCTGTAAGGAATTGTAAGCGCTGCACCTCCTGAAAGTATTCCCAAAGTACAAACAGCATGTCGATGAGGACGGCGGGATCCTCATGGCGGACCTAGATCAGATCAGACACACGGCCCATAGCCGGAACATCCGTTCAGTACGGTGTCATGTTTTAACACGGGGCCCGCCTGGTGAATCAGTTGTGCAACAGTTTCTTGCTCTCGCCGAAATGCGATTGGATCATGCTCCAAGTGCCTGGGAAGCTTGAAGCTCGATTTGCCGGCTGGGGCGCTGAGATCTCAATGCCTGGGACGGTCGTCTCTGCCATCCTGGCCCGTCTCATCTCGAAGCAACGTGCCCATTAGCCTCCAAGGATCTTGACAGGCAGCTCGCCACAAGCTGGGCAGTAAGTTAGGCTCTGACGCAAACAATTGGCGCAAAGTCTCGCAGTTTTGCAAGCTCACCTAGGGAAACAAGATCAATCCTTTCTCCATTTTTCTTTGTTGCTGCGGGGAGTCAAGATTTCAAAGCAGGCACGTCAACATCTGCCGAACGAGTCCCGAATCTTTTTGGGGAGCAAGCATCTCAACAGGTTCAGGACCTGTAAGAAAGTGATGACCTCTTGGGCCTACTGGACTTGCAGCTCACCAACATGCAAGTCGAACCCGTTCTCCAACCCAGATTGCATTGACCGGGCGCAGACTTGCTTTGTTTTGTTGGGTCTGCAAAGGCAAGCTCTGCTTGAAAGAGCAGGGGAGAAGTGTTGATCGGCGGGAAGCGGTTTAGAGGCAGTTCCTTCCCGCATGCTTTTCGATCGCACTTGCGCTCCGAGGCCATCAAAGCTCCGGACATCCCCCGCCAAGATGGCAGTCACCTGAGAGGCCCAAGCTGAGGAGTGGCGGGATCAGTGAGCTTTCTGCCTCAGGCCCGTGCCATAGCCATTGCTGCCCTGCCTTGCATTGCTGGCGACAGCATTGCCTGAGCGGCTTAGCGGCTTGGTCAGAGTTAGAAGAGAGTGAGAAGCAAGTTGAAGCAAGTTGGCTCTGAGGCGAGTGCCAGCAAAGACGAGTGGTATGGCATGTTCAGGACAGACGAGCAGAGCCCCTCCTGGCATCTTACTGGTCTTACCCAATCTGGTTTGAAGATGATGTTACATGCTGCGCTACATTCTGCCGCGTGCTGCCGCTAACATGGAAGATTGTGGAGTCCGTGGTGTTGGCAGCACAGGCCTTTGTTAGGGGAGCAGCCATAAGGTCCACGACTGCCTTGCAATTCAGGGCATTGCCGGAGGGTCTCTGATTCTGAAAAGCACCCCTTGTGCCTGTGCAAGCTGGGTGTCCAGGTGCTCCACAGAGTCGCCTGTTTCTCCTGGCCAATTGTACCAAGCCGAGGCAGACGTGGGTATTGTGGAAGTAAGTAATTTTAGGGGACGCTGCGCAAGCGCGGACCTTTCTTCTTGGCCCAGGAGATCTGCAAGAGGCTCTGTGTTTTGCTGGATCGTACCCCTTGACAGTTCCCGAGAAGGACACCTTGCACATCTCTGTCGCTCTCAGGCCTTCTCTTAAAGATCAGCTGGCAGGCAACAGCGGCTAAACTCGTGTTCAGCGCTACGAGTCACACTTGCAGAAAGCTTGCGAATCGCGACTTGTGGTACTATAGACGTGACAGCGTTGAGATGGCTTGGCTTCGTCACGTGCACGCTTCCATTTGCATGGATAGTTTGTTAGCGACCAAATTCAACCCATGGCCTGAGTTGGACAGAAGGCTGACGGTGCCCTCCAAGATTTCCAAGCAGCCTTCACCTTTACGGCGCAACAGGCATGGCAAGGGCATGAAGTGCAGAGCTAAGCCAGCTAAGCTCTACCTGGCTGCAGAGCGAGGACGAACATGCAAAGTTCCTCCAGCTCTGACATGCGCTCCGCCACAACTCAGATTTGCTGTCAATCTAAGACGAAGACAAGCTGCAGCGTGAGGAGGGAAATCAGCGGCGTGGCCTGGGTCTGTAGCCAAGCCCTACGATCTCTTTTGCACTGCTTGGCAGATGGGCGTCAAACTGCAGTTCGCGGTCGCCCATGCAGCTGCTTCAAGTGCACGTGAAAAAGCACAAACCTGGCAGTCGATCTAGAGCGTTAGCCTTCACTTCACCAAAATCTAACCTTCCATGACCGAAGAGCATAAATCAGTCCAAGACGCACGTCCACAGAGCTGGAGCTGGAAGCAACACCTTGGGGAATCTTTTTTGCTTGCAGAACTTCTCCATTTCTCCACCATGTCCAGTGCCAGAGGCTAGCAGCAATGGGCAGCAAGAATGGAACGCATTGTCAGCAAAAAGCAAAGTGTCTTGCTTGTGCAGCCTCCTGGATGTTTCTCTGTGCTGTTCTAGGTAATGCTCATGCATGATAACCCTGATGTTTCGGGATACATTGCGAAGTAGTGTTGAAAGTTATTGCTGTAACGAAAGAATGTGTGGCCAGGGATTGAGTAGCAGACCGCCTCCTTCAACAAGGTGTACTGTAAGACGTCTCAGGAGATTTTGCCTGATCAGGTGTGAGGTTTTTAAAGAGTGAGGAGCCTTGGCCTTCCGTACAAGCCAAGCCCCGTGCATTAAGTGAACCAAATCAATAGACCAGTGGACCTGCCATATGCGGCCGCTGGGTTTGCAACATGTAAGGGCTTTATGGGTCGCCTGCGCACAAGTGGCCAGGACCTTCTCCAAGGTGTGTAGGTGATAAGTGTCGGGGAAGACCTTGTTTCACCAATCTTGGCTCCCGCCAAACAGGGTTTTAGGTCCTTGCCTCAATAATGAGCTGCAAGAGATAGGCCTGGCACTCCGAAACAAAGCAGCGTCGTTGCTAAAAAGTGAAGCAGATGAAGCACGCTCAGCAGTATGGAAGGTTCTTTGTCAATCCATGCTTTCGTAATTCTCTTTCACGTCTTGGTGAACGCCATCAGGGACAGCGGCACGGCCTCAGCGGAAAAACATCTGAAAATCAATGTGCGGACAGGACAGAAGCCGTGGCGTGACTCCAAGTCAAAATGAGAACTTGCCGCGAGCAGCTACCTACCAAAGCACAGTACCAAACCCAACCCTACGTTGTGGATGAATTGCATGGCAGCAGCTCCTGCTGGTGCGCTTACGATGCCGAACAACTTTCATCTGCATGCTGGCAGGACACTTGCTTGGCTTGCTGGCGCTTGCAAAGTAGCCTGTGAATTCGGCTGACTCTGGCAACATCCCTCTGTTAAAAACTTGACTGCAGGGCGTGCGGCAGACAAGCTGGAAGGGGTAATGCCCCAACTCGCGCCTCAGCTGTCAGGCAGCACATGCATAAGTAACAAGTTGGGGCAGCCTGTGAAAAAGATGATATTTAGGCATGGGGCAAAGTCGCACAATGCTGGGATCATGTGGTTGAGCCTCGAATTGCAGAAGATACGGACAATCACTCAGACCTGGTGTTCTGATCACTCGATGCTACCGCCTGCCATCACTCTGACACTTTCGGCACCTCATCTCTAGCAAGAAGTCGTGTGATCAGACCTCGCTCCTCCATTGCGTGTTCACAGCCCCGCATAACGAATGCAACATTCAGTTGGCATTGCTTGCTCATACCTGCCTCTGGCGAAAAGAAAGCAGAAGCTTGGGACGTTGATGAAGGGCATAGCCTGACTTTGAATGACGATCTCAAAGCACAATTCAAGGGCTGCTGACACGAAGTAAGGTCTCTTCGAAGCCAAGTCATCCAGAAATCGCGTAGCCGTTCCTTGAGGAACCGTGGATCTATCTGCCTCTGTTCAGTCGGCTGGCAGACGTGTTGCAAAGGAATCGAGCATCATAAGCATATCTCTGATCATGCGCATCTTCACTGCTGCCTGCTCCAATGCCTCCAGCAATTGCTGGAACACCTCGCGGAGGAATCCGCACGCACTTCTGCTGCAAGCTATTTGTATGGATAGCATACTGGACACTCCAACAGACTAAAACAATTCAGCCTCAGCATCCATTTCTCGACTGAAGACACGCTGCACTGTTTCAGAGCTCATTTGGATCACCAGGTCGGCTTTATCCTACACAAGAAGAGCATCTGTGACATGAAAAGCCTTGCGGCAACATATTCCAAGCCTCTGCAGTGCGTCGTCGCCGCAGCTCTTTGTCAAGCTCGCGGATACTTCGAATTTCTGTTGTCACATCAAGGAGTCTGAAAGAGCGCATTTAGGTGAGACGTGCCTGTCTGGCCACCGCATCTTGCAGCTTTATTCAGAACAGTTGTGGACCTCGACATTTCAGTGATCAACTGGAAACACAGCGCAGGTCTCAAGTCTCTGGCAACGCGTTGGTTCCTGGCACCACTTTGCTCCTTTCCACTTGCCTGACAAAGGCCCGCATGATCAGACACGCCGTAAAGTTGCGTGCAGCCTGTTGAAAGCAAACTTTGGAGGAGCGTTGAACTCATTCTTGTGAATGGGCTTCAGATGACAACCAGCCACCCGAGAACGAAACCTAAGTATGCTGCACAAATCTGCAGGTCCACACAACTCTTCGCACATTACAGGGAGCTGCAAGCACTAGATTCCAACTCTCATAATTAAAATCTATAAGTAGCATCATGTGACAAACCAAACGTCTGTTTAATCTCTACTGAGTGCAGCCATCACTTGCGGCTGTCGCAGCCTGGATGTGCCGGACACTGGGCTTGCGCGCGCTGTCTGCGCTGCCAGATCAGGACCCCTTTTTGTATCTTGCTCAGAAGCAGCAGCTGGAGCTTGAGTTCAAATTTTATGTCTTGTAGCCTGGTGAGCCTTGTCCACAAGTGGCTATGGCTTAGGAGTGCACCTTGGACAAACCCAGCAAGCTGTGTTTCAATGCGCCCCCTGTCCTCTGGCGTTCCCACCCGCCTTCCAGTCTCCTCACCCAAACCCCGCCCTGGCCCCTA